TTTTAAAATATCAAACATATTTATCTGTTAAGTTTATAATAATTAAAACTTAATTAATTATGTGCTAATAGTTTTCTCATTTTACGTGCTCTAACTTAATCTTTATTCTTATGAGTTTTAAACACCACCAAATCCAAATCCAAATGGAGACTTCCCTGATACGACCGCGACACTCGTAATATTCTTATTCCCTAATACGCATTACCGAGACTTCCCTCATGTTAGCCGTCCAAATCCTAATGCGTAGTATAGTCATACGCCTTCAGACTTCAATTGGTTGGACTTGAACCGACGAATTGAAATTATCCAGTTGGATTTCACCCCTCTTTGACCATGCGAATATATATTGTGCGATAAAAAATAATACTGGTAAAAGTTACGATGAGAGCGAGATGACTGCCTCAATTGAAAGAAGGGTTGTTATCATACGTGTCCGCTTAAGAACGAAGTAGGAGTAAAGTGAGATTGTGACGTACTTGCGCAGTTTCTTATTACGGAGTAAGTGAAATCATTTACTTTTGTGATAACATTGATTATTTATCGTATTAAAAAGTTTTTGTTGGACTTATTTTATCATTAAAAAGTTTTAAACATGACATATATTTTGAATATTTACATTATATTTTAAAATAAAATAATTATCACACGTTAGGAAAAAACAAAACAACATTCAACTACATACTATACGTTCCCACTGGCATCCAGTGCCACTGGACCAGTCGCATCCCGTAGAAGTAGAAGGTATTTATAATCTTTGAGACTTTGACGTTGATGCCGGCTATAATTTTCGAAATAAAAAAACCGGGAAAAAAAATCTCCGATCTGCGATACTCGTGGAGCTCGGGGAGGTGCCACCACCATCAGGTGGAGCTCCGGTAGGAAGACAAACATCGCCGCCCCAGTTCACACCATAGGAGATTTTCTTTCGTGGGCTTCACCACGCCCGCCGCGGCATCGCCGAGCTTTCGACTGCAGCTTCACCGTGGCATCATCGGATCTGAAGCGCCGACCTCCTCCCTCCCGCCGCAGCCACGGCCCCTCTGAAGTCGAAGATGTCAATACTTAAAAAAAAAAATGATGGTGACCAAAACACGTTTACACTGACGGGCAGATGCTCCGTCTGCATTCTCCGGCCAATGAAAATCATGTATTTTCACAAGCGAGTGGACGACTGCCTGTTAAAATCGATCTTCACGGGTGGCTAAATTATACTGCTCGCCAGCGAAAATCGTTCCAGCGCTAAAAAAAAACAATCACAGCGGACGGAGCGGCGTTGCTCCGTCTGCATCTACAGTCGCAGCCGCTCCTCGATCTGCCAGATCATATCCAATCCAGTGTAATTATTCTCAAATCCACAAATGTGAATCCCAAATTGCTAAATCCACATAGCACCATAATTTATAGCATTTACAAGTTTCACAAATTTACAAATCAGTAACAGAAAAACGAGAGACAAGACTTACAACATTCAAAAATTTCCAAGCTACATTGAGGCCCTGTTTAGTTCACCAAAAAGTTTTCGCAAAAACATCACATCGAATCTTTGGACACATATATGGAGCATTAAATATAAAGAAAAAGAAAAACTAATTGCACATATAGGGAGGAAATCGCAAGACGAATCTTTTAAGCCTAATTAGTCCATGATTAGCCATAAGTGCTACAGTACCCACATGTGCTAATGACTGCTTAATTATGCTCAAAAGATTCGTCTCACAGTTTCCAGGCGAGCTATGAAATTAGTTTTTTTATTCGTGTCCGAAAACCCATCCGACATCCGGTCAAACGTCTGATGTGACACCCAAAAAATTTCATTTCACCAACAAAACAGGACCTAAACAGCAAACAAAGATCTGCAAGCTTCCTCAGCCACAGCAACAACGATCTTGTCATCTCCTGTGAGATAGATCACCAACCCATGCATCCATGAATTGGAAACAAAAACTAGGAAATGAGGACGGGAGGGTACATATACTTGGACTGGGGAAGGGAAGGGAGATGGAGTGGAGGAACCGCGTCGCTAGATTTGATGCTTCACCGCGCTAGAGGGATCGAGGAGCCAACAATCGTCGATTGGATCCGCTTGCCGCCACCTCCCACAGCTAGATCTAGCCCTTCCATGGCCGGATCCGTCACCTTCACCATCGCAGCCCATACCTTTGTCGCCGCTAGTCGCCACAGCCCTTACCTCCCCCTTTACCACCACAGCTTGCCAGATCTGGGAGAGGGAGGGGACGTGATCGAGTTGAGTGGAGGAGAACCGTGCCGCCCCCTCTTTGGTCGCCGCCCAACTTCCCTCTGGCTAGATCTAGGAGAGGGAGGGGGGTAGGGAGGGTCGCCGCCACTATTTGTTGTTGTCACCACCGCCGTTGCTGTCGCGCTGCTAGCGCTGCCACCTACACCGTCCTTCCCTCTAGCCAAATCTAGGGAAGGGAGGGGAGGGCTACCGCTGGCTTGATTTGGAGGAGAGTGGAGGGGATCGAGGAGAGGAGAGGGGAGGTGAGAGGGGTGGCAGGCTAAGAGAGGTGGAGGACTTGGGTGCACAGTTATTAGGACCGGATCGGACCGGAAAAAACTGGAACCAGAGCCTCCACCGGTCTGGTCCAGTTAAAAGACCGCATGTGCAAGTGAACTGGTAAAAACTGGTTGGAGCTCAGAGGGCAGGTGCTAGGTAGGATTCGAACCCACGATGGGTTGATTGGAAGCACATCACACCAACCACGAAGTCATGCTTGTGTTTATGTATGAGGCAAATCAGTTATATATTTAAACTTCTAAACCGCCTTAAACCAACAGTCCAACCGGTCAAACCAATGAACCATCGAACTGAGGGCCTTGCCAGTTCAACAACCAGTCTGGTCTCAATAACTATGCTTGGGTGGGGAGAAGTCGGGTGCACTTTCTTTTTTAATTCTTCGAGTGCGCTCGCTCGATGTCTGAATTTTTTTAAAGCCTCCTTCCCTTTTTGCACGCAGATGTCTTGCTTTTCGTAGGTGGGGCTTGAACTTAGGGACCATTTGTTATTTTTACATGTGGGATTTTTGGGTCCATCTAGAAAAATAAAACCCATGTGTTATGAAAAATCGTGTGCGTCGTCATCAGGGTTAGGCGCTTTGGATGATACAAATCGCACTGCCGCGACGACGACTTGACGGGGGAGAGCAGGCGGTTGTAGTACATCGACGTCATAGTCTTGCTCGTTGTTGAGGTCTTCGTCGTCCCCCACGCCATCCATACCATTGAGGTCTAAGGCACGTATAACAAGTTTAACTAGAAAAAAGTTAAAGTAAACAGACGAAGATGAACTAAATGATTTTGACTATATATTTGCATAGCTAAATATTTTATGGGAGAGAAAGAGAGTACCGTTTAATGTGAATGGAATATATTGAGCCATATATAGCGACATATAAATACATTCAACTTTGACTAGTAATTAAACAAATATAATATGTATGTTTAGTGTCACATCTTATATTTTGGAATATATAGAGTATATGATTTAGATTTTAAACCGTTGTTACTATAAGATGGAAACTAATCACATCTTATAGTAAGTCATATATAACAATCGGAACCTATAACATTTATGCCATATTTTAACATCTTCCGGTAGTCTAGCATTTAAGCGTGAGATATATAGACGCTTAAGACTGAAGTAGAAATCGGAAAAAGCGCTCAATGATGATAATCCTTCCTGCTGATGTAGAAGTTGTGGTCATGGCTACAGCTAGTCGTTCACTGCATCATCACGGCAAGTGCGGTATACGACACACCAAGCGCGAAGAGATAGCGAGAGCGGGCGTAGGTTGAGAAGCCAACAAGCATGAACGCATGATGGTGTTCTGAGTGGATGAGTGACTTGTGACTTGTATGTGTGTGGTATAGGGGACAGCAGACACAACATCAAAAATAAATTATAAATAAAATAAAATTAAAAAAAATCTACAGTGACGAGTGCCGAAGATATGTATGCATTGATGTCGGATAGTGTCGCTGATCAACTACTTTCTCTATTCCACCAAAAAAAACCCTAATATCGGACAATACTCTCTCTATTTCGTAAAAAAAAAATCTGATGGGACATCCAGTACTAGATTTGTCTTTTGAAGACGGAGCGAGTAGTCAAGTTAAGCACGTCTTCAATCTCAGCCTTTTATGAAGTTCCATCACCTCACTGAACTTCTAATCGTCACAAGCAACTAGCAAGCACCTTACGGTTGGTGCTCATGACATCCTCTTGCTCTGCTGTACTTCTTTCGTCTTAGAAAAAAAAACTACTTTTGAGTTTGAATTTGAACATAGTTTATGTTCAAATTCAATAAGTTTTTATAACGGACGGATGGACCACACAGATGACTTCTTCAGAGATCCGGTTACTGAGAATAAACTCAAGTGCCATAGAAGCCTTCTGTGCCTTCAAACATACATGACCTTAATATGATGCGATCCTCTTTATTTGCATCACAAATATTCTTCCGAAAGAATTCTTCTCTTCAGTTTAAATACAACTATACAAGCAAGCAGGGAGCCATATGGGCTTTCGGATTCCGGCCCATTTTACAGCCCAGCCCAGAGTTCAGTTGTTCTGAATGACAAGCAAGATAGGTTTCTTTTTCACTAAATTCAGTTGTTTCTACTCCCCTCCAATATTTACTGGATTCAGAATAACTTGATCATTCAGAAAAAGAATGAACGTAATAAAAAAAAAACTTAGGGAAGCACCAGTAATATGTGTTGAAGTTGTGGATACATGAATCCACCCACCATGGTTTAAATCCTAATGCTCACGAGTATTACGCAAATGTAAATGGACTTTCAATGGGTTTTAGTGAGAGCAAGAATATGCCGCTGATTTCGGACTCTTTGAGCATGGTTAGGAGGGTGTATTCATTGGCATGCGTAGTGATACGTGTGCGCGCATATGACGTGTAATAAAAAAAAAAGAGTTAAGCATGGAAGCTCAACAGAATGTTTGAGGCCCAAGAAGGGCGGCCCATGTTTGAGGCCCAAGAAGGGCCCGGCCCATTCCTTCCGCGACGGCCGAACGTGTCGTCGTCTCCGACCACCACCACCACCAACCAGCGACCAACCACCACACACCTGAGCTTCAGCTCCAGCGGCGGCTCTCTTGGCGTGCTCCTGCTCAGCTGAGCTCGGGTGAGCTCTTTCTACCTCCAAGATTTCCTCCTCCTACCTCCACTCCACTCGCCTCACCTCAGCTCACCTCAGCGTCGTCTTCTTCCTTCCGCAACCTCGCAGGTTGAACCGGAGAGCGGGAGGAGCGAGTGAGTGGTGGTGGAGGCCATGGCGGAGGATGAGGCGGCCAGCGCCAAGAAGCTCTTCTCCGCCTCCGATGTCGTAGGGCACGCGTCCAGGAAGGATTGCTGGGTCGTCATCCATGGCAAGGTCGGGCAGGGGGCAAGAATTAATCGAGTCGATTCGATCTCTGCTTTTTTTTTTCTAGATGGAGATCTGATTTGGCTTGATTTCTTGATGGGTGGTGTATACTGGTTCTTGATTGAGTCTGAATTTGTAAATATTTTTTGCTTTTGTTTCAGGTGTATGATGTGACCAAGTTCTTGGAAGACCACCCTGGTGGAGAGGATGTTCTCCTGCATGCATCTGGTCAGATGAGATTCAGATTCCTCCATTCCTATCAACTGTAATGATAATGTTTGATGCTAAAACTGTGATGCTATTGAAACTATTTACGACCTTATCTGCTCATCAATTTAATTGTGATGATAAATGCTCGGATTCGTTGCTGTCAGTTAATTTTCTTCATTTTTGGTGGTCAGTTCAAGCCTGCAGTAGTAGAATTAGATTGGTTCATGTTGTTTAGTTAAGAGAAACCAATTGTATCATGCTGCTCTGATCTGAATAGATGGTTGTGTTCAACACCTAGTCAACTACCATTAGCAATTTATCATAAATCAGCCCGTACGGTATTTGCTTTTGTAATGCAGCCAGTGGGCATCGATGCTGATTCATGATTTGTACCACCAGCTTCTGTTAACCTTGTATTGTGCCACGTGGAAGCCTCATAACCATAGGCATATTCAACTCCTGTTGTTCTAATTGTCTAAGAGAATTAACAAAATTAAAATCATGATAGAGCCGCTTGTTGCTTAATTCTTGCAAATATCTTGCCTTCTAAGTCATGGAATAACATGCATTTTACATCATGAAAATTCTCAGTTATTCATTACCAAACCAATATAATGATGGCTTGCTACTGTTTTCTTGGGAGACAAAACAATGCCAGGGCAATTTTAGTTTCAATATTTCTAAATACCGTACGGTCTGATTAATTTATGATAAATATGTTGTCCCAGCAGAGACCAATGCATAGAAGTTAATGCTTTTTTTACTTTTCGGATGTTGCTTTCCTCTGGACTAAATTTCTGAGCCTCACTAATCACACTAAATTTGCTATTGCAAATGTTCCCCTTGTATTGTACTGATTCCATTGTACTTGTTCCGTTTAATTGCACATGCTATGTTGATATATTACTTTAACTAGATGACAAAAATAAAATGTTAACATATGGTGCGGTTCTGAAAGAAAGACATTTGGAATAGATGCAAGGTTTATTGACAAGTTTCTATTTTCTGTTGCCTCTGTATTTAATCAATTCTTGAAGCCTCTGGGGATGCCACGGAGGCATTTGAAGATGTGGGGCACAGCACATCAGCCATCAGCATGATGAACAACTACTTGATTGGAAGCATCAAGGACTATGTGCCTCCTAGTGCATCAGAGGCTACAACCATTGGCGGCAATGATGTGCCGCCAAACTTCAGAAGGATGCCACAGAAGAAAGGACCTCCTGCTCCCAACACCTTTCTGGACTTCCTGCTCCCTCTGTTTGTGCTCGGCCTTGCCTTTGCCGCTTGGTACTACCTGACCTTCATTGCCAAGGCCTAGTAAATTTGGTGAAGGTTTGAAGTATTGAACATTTTACTATGCCACGTCTGCTTCAGCGACACATGGAGATATATTCTGGTCAGTTCTAAGTTTTATTATGAGGTTTCTGGCTGTGAATTAGAAATGTCATCGTATTATTATTTGTTACCAAATTGTTGGCTTTGCTTCGAAGTTGGTACCACTCTTACATGTAAATGGCGATGGCTGCATCAGTAAAATGTATGGATGGGGCATTTTCCCTTTCGCTATCAATGTCTCTACGTATTTGCAATGCTGTTCTCAAAGTCCCCAGTGATCCAGTTACTTTTGCCTGTACACTGAAATCACAAATTCTCAAGGATGTACTGACTACTGAGTGGCTATCTGGATAATCATGTCTAACATGGAAAGAAGTACTAATGCAAGTGAAAATAAGCAACTTTGATGAATTTTGAGCTGTAGGATGGTATTACTGTTTTTCTATATTTCAATGCATGGATTGCTATTTGAACATATTATATATCCAAAATTTTTTGCTAGACAATATGTGAAAGAGCATCTAGCAATCTATAATACTTGATTTAAATTTTACAAAGTCTTGTAAGGGAGATTTGAAAAGAAGGTGAGACTCATTTCTCTTTCACCTATAACCAGATTGGCCATAACTATATCAAACCAAGACATGAATTCTTCCTTAGTACACAACCATCAAAAAATTCATAATCTAAGTAGATATTAAGTTTTTTTTAACCTATCTATCATGTTTTCGTTTGTTAGTTGGAACAGTAGTAACTGCATTCAGAAACAAAGAAACTTATTATAAAATTCTCCTTGCCATTTGATTTCATAGTTACCGGCTGATGACTGATTGTTACTTGATGTACCAACGTTAGAGAACAAAACTAAATGTCCAAACTCCAAACTAACAAACCAATCATCTCATTTCAACACAAAATCGCAATGCAATGAAATTTTCCCCAGCTGACCTTGACACGGTCATGTAAGTTTCCTTGGTTTATAATACATCAAGTGGCAGGGTTAGCTCAAAATATAACACCAATGCTTCCATTGCCTATTTTCTGTTCTTTTCCTAAGTAGCTGGATCCTGAACGACAGGAAAATGATATTTTATAAGTGAACCAGATTCTCCATGAATTTCATGACACCATAAGCAATCTATTATCATTCCCTCCATATCATTCAGGTCAACCGTATAAATTAGGGAGAAACAGAACATATAAAAGATAGACATCTTATAGAACATTTGTTGTTCTTTTCATTAATTGCAAACTTTCAATCAAAGTATTTTCAGTACCTTATACGCTGTCAATGAACTGTGCTGCTTACCTTCAAATCTAGAGCTGTCAAAATCACTATTAAATAACTCGCACATAATTAAACAACAAACTTTACATGGGGATGACACTATTAAACAAAATCTTCTTTTACATAATGATTATAAAATCATGTACTAGTATATATGTTTCAAATAATTTGCTTGCTTAATCTTCTAAACTGGGCATTAGCCAATGAAATATATCTTGATGTATCACACAATATATACCTGAAGTCCTTAACCACACCCAAAATTTCAAGAAACCCATTTGATATCAAAAATGGATGGGCTCGTCCCCTTGATCTTCAAGGTGCTCAAGAAGAAGAAGGCCATGAGGTACTACCGCTCCCTCTGTTGGAATTAATGAATGGGCCTTAGCCCACTCGAAGATTAATTCTTTGGAAAATCACAAAAGCCCACCTCATGGGATGGCATGCATGTGGAGTTTAGTACCACCTTGCTTATTCTAGGAGAGGGGGACCTCCTTAAAAGGAAGGATGCCCTCCTAGCCACTTGAAGCATGTGTGGTGGAGAGAAGAGGGGAAACACGCGCGCGCTCGCTCGCCTCGCCTGGCCGGGCAGGCGGCGCGCGCGTGCACGATGTACGCGTCGAATGGTCCGAAAAATTGGCTCCTCACCCTTGCGCAGATGCAGCCTCCTTTTGCAGTTTTGTTTTGCTGCAAATTCGGATTCGTTTTTGTTTTGGAAACGTTCCGAAAAATCCGGTGCGTGCAAACGGCATGGAGTCCGGATAAGTTACGCGCGACTTATCTGGTTCGGTTACGCGCAGTAGAGATCGTGCGGGCGCCCTGATCAAGCGACCCGTCTCTATATAAACCGACCTGCCGTCTTCACGCAACACATGCGAAATCAATCTAGGGTTTGCCTCCTACTCTGTACTGCGCCGTCGCTCGTAGACTACTCCATCCCGCTCGCCGGCGTGCACCGGCGATCGGGAGAGCAGGTCTCCGGAACCTCTGCCTTCGACGTCCTGCACCGGGAGAAGGCGGCAATAAGGTTTTTGGGAAGCGCTTCGCGCGACTGCTCCCTGTTTGTTCGCGACGGCTCGCCTTCCTCTTCGCTCGCGTGTTTCGTGCCTTCGTAGACACCTGCGAAAAGTTTCGACCAAGCAGCCGGTCTTTCCGTCACCTCGGTACGTGTTCAATATGTTGCGCATATTTGATTTGTTCATGTTATACTGTGTAGTTTACATGTATAGATCTAATGATGCGTTCATGCTAGTTTTCTTCTGTAATGTCATGATTTATTTATGGAATAGATTAAATCATTATATGTCTATAATCTCAACAATCCAAAAACCTTATTATAGGCACTGTGATTTTACTATGGCTGGTTTTGCCGATGCACTGAGGCCGGATAAATTCACCGGTGTGCATTTTAAGAGATGGCAGATCAGGGTCACTCTGTGGCTGACAGCTATGAAATGCTTCTGGGTGAGTACTGGCAAACCTGAAGGAGTTCTTACTGCTGAACAGCAGAAGCAATTCGAGGAAGCCACTACTCTCTTTGTGGGATGCATTCTTAGCGTTCTTGGCGATCGTCTGGTCGAGGTGTATATGCATATGACCGACGCTAAGGAGTTGTGGGATGCACTGAATACTAAATTCGGTGCTACTGATGCTAGCAATGATCTGTATATCATGGAGCAGTTTCATGACTACAAGATGGCTGACAACCGTTCTGTAGTCGAACAGGCTCATGAGATACAAACCATGGCTAAGGAACTCGAACTCCTTAAGTGTGTCTTACCCGACAAATTTGTGGCCGGGTGTATTATTGCAAAACTACCTCCATCTTGGAGAAGTTTCGGTACTGCACTCAAACACAAGAGACAGGAATACTCCGTTGAGGGGTTGATAGCGTCTCTTGATGTTGAGGAGAAAGCTCGGGAAAAAGATGCCGCGTCTAAGGGCGATGGTGGGCAGTCCAGTGCCAATGTTGTGCACAAGGCCCAGAACAAGAGCAAGGGGAAATACAAAGCTCAGCAGACCACCAACTTCAAGAAGCAGAAGAAGAACAACATCAATCCTAATCAGGATGAGAGGACTTGCTTTGTGTGTGGCCAAGTTGGTCATCTGGCTAGGAAGTGTCTACAGTGCAAGGGGATGAAGGCACCTGCAGGGCAGACTTCTAAGTCTGCTAATGTGACCATTGGCAACACTGGAGATGGAAGCGGGTATGGTAATTTACCTACTGTTTTTTCAGTTAATCAATCTACTAATTGGTGGGTTGATACTGGGGCCAATGTACATGTTTGTGCTGACATCTCATTGTTTTCTTCTTATCAGGTCGCACGGGGTTCCACCGTCCTAATGGGGAATGGGTCACATGCTTCTGTTCATGGTGTTGGCACGGTAGATCTGAAGTTTACTTCGGGAAAGATCGTGCAGCTGAAGAACGTGCAGCATGTCCCTTCTATCGATAGGAATCTTGTTAGTGGCTCCCGTCTGACTAGAGACGGATTTAAGTTGGTTTTTGAGTCTAATAAAGTAGTCGTGTCTAAACATGGATATTTTATTGGTAAAGGTTATGAGTGCGGAGGCCTGTTCCGCTTTTCCCTTTCTGATTTCTGCAATAAGTCTGTGAACCATATTTGTGGCAGTGTGGATGATGAGGCTAATGTTTGGCATTCACGTTTATGTCATATTAATTTTGGCTTGATGTCTCGGCTTTCCAGCATGTGTTTAATTCCTAAGTTTTCCATTGTCAAAGGTTCTAAGTGCCATAGTTGTGTGCAATCGAAGCAACCTCGCAAGCCTCACAAGGCTGCCGAGGAGAGAAACTTGGCACCACTAGAACTCCTACATTCAGATCTTTGTGAAATGAATGGGGTGTTGACGAAGGGTGGAAAACGATATTTCATGACATTGATTGATGATGCTACTAGATTTTGCTATGTGTACTTGTTGAAAACGAAAGACGAGGCTCTAGACTATTTTAAAATTTATAAGGCAGAAGTTGAAAATCAACTTGACAGAAAGATAAAAAGGCTTAGGTCTGATCGTGGTGGAGAGTTTTTCTCGAACGAGTTTGACTTATTCTGTGAGGAACATGGCATCATACATGAGAGGACGCCTCCCTATTCTCCCGAGTCTAATGGGATTGCTGAAAGGAAGAACCGCACACTGACTGACTTGGTGAATGCCATGTTGGACACCGCGGGACTGCCTAAGACATGGTGGGGGGAGGCATTGTTGACCTCAAATCATGTGTTAAACAGAGTTCCTAACAGAAATAAGGACAAAACACCATATGAGATATGGATTGGTAGAAAACCATCACTTTCTTATTTACGCACATGGGGGTGCTTGGCGAAAGTCAATGTACCAATAACGAAGAAGCGCAAACTTGGACCTAAGACTGTGGACTGTGTTTTTCTGGGATATGCTCATCATAGCATTGCCTATAGATTTTTAATAGTTAAATCCGAGGTACCGGACATGCATGTTGGTACAATTATGGAGTCTCGTGATGCTACCTTCTTTGAGAGCTTTTTCCCAATGAAGGATACACATAGTGGTTCGAACCAACCCTCTGAAATAATTCCCAATTCAATCACACCACCAGAACAAACTGAACATACACATGAACTTGTCTCTGAGGAGGATGTCAGTGAAGCTCCTCGAAGGAGTAAGAGACAAAGGACGGCTAAGTCTTTTGGTGGTGATTTCACTGTGTACCTCGTGGATGACACTCCTAAGTCAATTTCAGAAGCATATGCATCTCCTGATGCAGACTACTGGAAGGAGGCTGTCCGTAGTGAAATGGATTCCATTATCGCTAACGGGACTTGGGAGGTGACAGAGCGACCCTATGGGTGTAAACCTGTGGGGTGCAAGTGGGTGTTCAAGAAGAAGCTTAGGCCTGACGGTACTATTGAAAAATACAAGGCTCGGCTTGTTGCTAAGGGCTATACTCAGAAAGAAGGCGAAGATTTCTTTGACACTTACTCACCTGTTGCTAGATTGACCACAATTCGTGTGCTACTTTCCCTAGCAGCCTCACATGGTCTTCTCGTTCATCAAATGGACGTTAAGACAGCTTTTCTTAATGGAGAGCTGGATGAGGAGATCTATATGTATCAACCTGATG